TTAATACCTTTAACAGGTTTGCTGTTTGGGTAAAAAATCAAAATAAGAAAGAAATGTAGAAGCAGAATTTCCATGATTCAAGTTATACTTAAATGATTCTTAACCTCTATTATCTGTAGCATCAAAACAGAAATCTGAAGCCTACTTTTCCTAATTATGTCATTATTCCTTTTATGATTTTTGTCTATATCCCCTTGCATGCCTCAGTTGTTCTCTGCAAGGAAGTACTATGAGTTTTCTATAAACAGGAAAGTTAAGAGGATGAATTTAAAGTTGTATCAATTATAAAATTATGATTAATAATAGCTATAGTTGATGATAAAATTCTAAACAGGTAACAAGAGACCAATAAATCAAGCAAATTATGTTGCCTCTTAAACAGAAAATTGATACAGTACTTCTTAAGATTTTGTTCATTTATTTTCTATTGTTAGAGGCTGGGAATGTAGCTTAGCGTTAGACCACTTGCCTAACATGCATGAGATGTGGATTCAATCCCCAGTACCAAAAATAAATAAATAAAGTAAGGGAGGTATTAAGGTATTTTTCTTGTTTTCTGTTTATTTTCTACTCTGGATGTTTTCCCTGCTCCCTCAAAAAAAAAAAAAATCTTAAGTGGAAAAATAAACAGAAGAGCTTAATTGCTGTTGTTGAAGATATACAGCCTAAAGCCCTACCTACTTGTCCCCAGATGGTGTATTTGAGAAGTTTCTTTGGCTTCATGCCTTTATATACATGTATATCTGTCAGTATGTTTTGATTTCGTTCATTCGTGTATGTGTATGTTTGCAAGGGATGCATATACAGTGCACAATGTATTCATATGTGATTCAGACTCTCAAGCTCTGATTAAATCAGAAAGCCCATCAAAATTTGTTTATTATTAATTTTAATTAATTTATTAATTTAAATATATTTTTAAAATTTCAAACCCTCAAAATTTTGAAATACTACTACAGGGAGCATCTGTGTACCTTTCATCCAGATTCATTGTCCATTATACTCTAGGTACACTCACTTCATTTCTCTCTATGCACACATACATGCATGCTTGTGTGTACACCTACCTCCTCCTACACAAATACTTCTTTTTTGCCAGCCACCTGAGACAAGGTTGTACATGTCATAATACTTTTAATTTTCCTGAATACATAAACATGCATCTTCCATGAGCAGAAACTTTCTGTTATGGGGTCACACTACACCTTAAAGAAGGTCATAAATTCAGCAACATCATTCAATATAGTTCATAATGAAATTTTCCCAGTGTTTTGAAAATGTTCTTTATAACACTACTACTATAAGTATGGTTTATGGACTAGTAGCATCAGCATCACCTGGGAACTTGTTAGACTTGCAGAATATCTGGCTATGCTGCAGACCTGGAACTAAGGTAAATCAAATGAGATGCCATTAGTGCAAAATTTAAGGAGACACTCTTAGGATTATACCCATAAAGAGCTAGTATTTGTGTGACCCTGAAAGTGAGTGCCTTTTTAAATTTTGATCTGTAAGTATTTCCCTTATCTCCCCCAAGTCCTTAACCTATTACTGAGTTAAAATCTATATTTCAATTGGATATAACCCATTGAAGCATTAAAACTTTTTAACAAGGGTCAAACCAATTGAATCTAGGGTTATCCCACCACTATGCTACATCCCTAGTGTTACATTTCCCAACCCTTTTTTTTTTTTTTTTT